TACGAATACAAAAGCTTGTCTCTGGTAGCTTACACGAAGTTTGCTTAGTTCAGCATACACCAACACTACATAAAGGTCGGTAGCATAGAATCTTTTATGAACTGCAGTGACTGATTAGAGAAAATTTTATCTGCAGATTTATATGCCAAAGACGATAAAGCTTGCCTAAAGCATATTATTTAATTCCATTCACCGTATTCTTGCTCGCAGGCTAGTAGAATGTCTAGGGCTGGTCAGAAACTTTCTAAGCAACTCTAATATTAGCAACAATTCTGAGCCCAAAAAATAAATACCGCAAAGAGGCGGTACAATAAGGATAAATATAGTGTTAGTGATTATGATTAGCCACTACTAATGGCGACCATTATACTTGAATTCCGCCAATACTTCTTGGTATCTGGATATTTATTAGGCTTGCAAGCCTGAGAATACGAGTAAACTACACTTTGTGACCTAATTGAACTTAACCGTCATGTTACTTTAATGAAAAGGATTAGTTTCACGAGTGCAGGTTACAAGAATAAATATCTGCATCAATTATGGTTTAAAATGCATGATCAGGATACTTTGTAACATTAAATTTCTGATTGAAGTATTTGATTTCGGAAAATATAGCAGCAGAATATGGGAATGTATTATGTTTTTCGAGGTTTCGCAGCGCAATAATGTGGCCTTTTAAATGACAGATTAGAGTGTGGTTTTAGTCAGCCGAATGCATAATGAGACGCATGCCTTAAGGCTAGATTCTGCTGTGGAAATGAGGATAATGTGAGAAGAATCTGGGATCACTTCACGCCATTCTAAATAAATCTAACTACCTTTTTTGTTAGGACTTTCATTTCCTATAAAAGTGTATGAAGAAGAGAATTGTAGGTCGATCTCACCAGAAGAGGACAGATGAATCCCGTTGTACTTCAGCCATTTGGCTTTTATAGGACGCTAAGATTGATGCAGTCCACTAGACCTCCTCCCTCTTTTCAAGTGAAAACGAGCTGAACTTTGATAAACCTTTTCATGGAGAATTTTTTAATTACACTTATTTATTAGCATCAGCTAAAAACATGGTTGGCATTAAGAATGGTAAATATGGTGAAGTGTTATTATTAGCCATATCTGCGCATATAATCATATCAAGAATTTATCAGTATGGATGCGAGCATCGGGGGATCTTGAATTTAGCTCTTCTTCGTTGTAGGTGCTCCTAATATATTATAAAGTATGAAACCTAAACAGCTGCACTACAACGGGATTCGACTTTTCTCTTCTAGTGAGATCGATCTTTGAATCCCTTCTTTAAAACTTTCATACGAATTGAAATTCCCACAATAAAATTTTCTTTCAGGAGACTAATCGAAACACAGTTAGTCTCCATATTTTTTATGCCCGAAATTGTGAAAATTCTGATGACTAGACAGGGTATTTTAGGCTATTGAGAGGTTTAATGACCACCATCACCCTTTATATATATATTTTTAACCATATCTCAGATTGCGCAGCTGGACACACGCCTGGTTAAGTTGACAAGCTTTTTGTCTTCATGTGAGTGAGTAAGTGTGGACTAAATAGTACAGAAAAGTGTTCATAATCAGAACCAAGCCAAGAAATACTAATTGAGTAGCCTGTTTCTTTAGGAGGCTCAATATCCCCTCTAACCTAGAGTATATTAATTAAGCAAAGTAGTTAGTACCTAACTTCTTGCCAGTATTACTTACATTCAATGTATTGTCTTGCAGATTGTTGATTTCGACGTCCTTTTGAATTGTACGCTTAGCTCAAGTCATACTATAATCAGGAAAACGACAAGTTTAGGCCGCTCAATCTCGTCTCCGGTTTCTACTATGTGCTCTGCTTAGGGGCTCAAGTTGGGAAATCCCACTATTTGCCTTCAAATCGTCGATGCTGGCTGTATTCTTAGGTTCCGATACTATCAGTAGATCTTGAATAAGAGTTATACTCACCATTAGTCACAGGGATATGAAGGACTGATAGCCGTACTTTCCGAAATGATATGAGTAGGCATAAGAATGCTGTTGAATTTCAGCTAGCTTTGCTTTGGATGAGGGAAACTTGAACAATCAATCCTTTATAACCTTACGCGACTTAGGGTGACTACAGCTTCAGTTTAAATTTAAATGTCTGAAGTGGCCTTAAGAGGTAGTTAAAACCATTAGATCAGAAAGTACATGCGAATATAGAATTTACATGCTTAGGCCTTGCTGACCATAAATAAAATAATTAAGTTGTAAATTGAACCAATTCTATGGTGTGAATAATATAGCGGGTTAAAATAGTGAAAAGGTAATAATAGGAAAAAACTGATATTTAGCCATTGCGATCTTAAGGACTCTTTCAAAGGTTTGAGAAGGAATTTTTAGAATGTGCTTTTAGGGGTATTTAATTATTCAAGCAAGTCATATAATTTTCAGCTAACAGGCCAAAGCGTGGCTGCGAATGCATGGCTTTTGTAGGAGATAATGGAATCAAGCTTTGCTCTTAAAAATGTTCACAAGAAAATGAATCTGAATATTATTATATGTGCACATAGTAGCAGAAAGAAAGGAATGAATATAAGTAACAATGTGTACATAAAAATAGTGTAATCATGGAGACGAGGAGCAGTAAGAGTGAATAATGGACTAAGAAAATAAATGGTCTACGCGCCGATCTCTAGGTCAATTTTTCTATCGTTCCAGATGCAATGCTCTTGCGTAGACAGATCAGAAGAACTGACGAAGAGCTGTGGACAGGTACAGTCACAAGTCAAGCAGGGACAGGCTGGACCAGGTCTAATAAAACCGGCTGGGCCATCCTGACAATTTCGGTCAGCAATTTGTTTTCTGAATTCGGGTCTTGCGAACCAGACAGCCAAGTGTTCTGGGTGACCGCCGTGGTAGCAGTCAGGGCAGAGGACTACAAGCCCACGAACCAATAGCCGACAGACGGAGCAGATGACTTGGCCGTCGAAATGAGTTGATTGCGATGGTGGCTGAGGGGCTGAGGGGCCATCTTTAGATGCAGACAATGAGTACGCATTGTGTCTCGAATGAAGGTAAAAAGAATACCGGCATTGCGGACAAACAAATTGGGGGCAGAGCGCTTCCTCGATTCCGGTGCCAGTGGATTTTTGAGAGCAAGGACGAATAACTGAATAAAACTCTTCCGTAGCAACGGAGCTGCTGCGTTTTCTGATCAAAGGTTGTGGTTCACCCGAGCAAATTGGGCAGGCTGGGACTAGCAGGACGTGAGGTCGAGCAGGGTCAATCGAAGAACTTGGGTACAGTCCAAGCATAGAGGCAGGAGTGGTCGGAATTCCTGAGAACACAAGCTCAGGATGAAGCTGAAGGGCTCGAGAGAGTTCCCCCATTGTCGGCCAGTAATAGCCTGGCTGGCCTCCAGGCAGGTCTAAACGTAGCGGGACGGCCGGCGTCCAGAGGGTCGGAGGAAGCATAAGAAAGCCAGAACCATGCATTTCGGACCATTGGCTTGTTATGCTGCTGTGGTCGCCACTTTGGAAGCCGATGCCAATAGGGCTAAGAGCGTTTTGAGAGACTGACTGCGCTTGAGGAAGACCAAGGGAGAGCGATGATTGGGTGGAGGATAGATCGTGGAGACTAAATACTTGCTGTAAGTAGGCTCGAAAAGCCCGATGATAGTAATCAGCCTGCTGACGACGTTGGAAAAAGCTCAGGGCAGTCGACCAACAGCGGCGTAAACGAGCATGAAAGCAGAAGTCTCGCTTGGCATACAGATAGTTGGCATAGAGGGCCACGTACGGTGAGAGGCTAGCGATATCTCCAGGTTGCACAAAACTGATTATAGAGAGGGAAGATCGTCAAGTAATTCGGCATTTAATGAGACATACGACAGATTATGAAGGAGGGATAATCACGAGACAGATATAAGAAGAGATAATTCAGGCTGGCATAATAAATATTACTATAATTTGACATTAAAATCTATGCATAGGTAAAGTAACTTCCTACATAGATTCAAATGGAAGCTAAATGGGAAATTATGAGTTAGTAGCATTCGTAAGTAGTTTGAAAATAGAATATCAAAAATTAATATGGCATTAAATATTGATTTGAAAAAAATACA